CACGCATTTGAAACGCTCAGCGATCATGTTGTTGGCACGCAGATTCTCCTGCCTGGTGTTACTTATCAAGAATTGGCTCTTGTTGCGTCTACCTCCAAACTAGAATAATCGCGTCTTTCGAAAGTGGTAATTGCGCGACCATGCGTGCTCTCTCGCACGAATCAGCAGATTCAATACACGAGTTCCGCTACAGGAGCGTACGAGATATCCAGCTTGGCTTCTGATGTCGTAGCAACTCATGTGACTGGCAGGCGGGTTGCGGGAACGAGAAAGTAGCAAACCACGTTTATGACACGTCCCCTGTCCAGAGTTGCGCCCGTCGCCCGAGATGCGATCTCACGAGTTCACCAAGAGCCGGTGTCGTCAACGCAAGAGACATATGTCCCAGCGGGGATCAACTCTGTTCTGCTTGCATGAAACGACGGGCGCCCTTGTTTGTCTTTCGCTGTGGTTCAGACGATAGGGTTGATATACACGCCCTGCGAAAGCCAGGCAAATTGCACCCTTCAGAATGAGCTTGGTCCTGCTGGAAGATCAGTGCGGCTATCGTTCCGCCGATTTCAAGCGCGGGCCCTCCGGTCATCGCAGACCGGCTCGGCGCAGTCGCATTCGATTTCTTCGCAGTTCATGGAATGGAAATCACACAAGGGGATTTTTCCTTTCGTCGGAGCAAGAAACCAGCGCATTGGCGCCAACCATAGATTAGTTAGACGCTCGTGTCATCGCAGTTCTACCTCGAAGGATTATCACCAACAATCTGCATTTCTAGACTCATTAAGGCGAGTCGCCTGTTTCAAGAGGCCCCAGGAACGCAAACTCTCAAACTGAGATGGAAGAAGTGGCTTCAAGTAAGAATCCCTGCTTTCAAAGTTTGTTGTTTTTTGCATCCAACTTGTGCTGCATGCCCACTTGCACTTTTCTCCTTGGTGCTCGTTGCTAAAAGCAAGCTGCACTCATTTACTTCCCCTGCGTCGGGTTTGTCAAGTGCGCGTACCAAAATCATATTCACAAACCAGTTTTCAATTGACAGCACGGGTGCGTTGCCGCAAGCAAAACGATGGATTATGCGCAGGCAAAATTATTTTTGTGAGGCTGTATTCTCTCTCTGAATGACCCTGGAACAAAGATAGCCACGCATAGGGCGGTCCAGTTCTCCACTCGGTAGCAACACTACAAATAACTCCAAGTAGGAAGACTTTCTTTCCATTGGCCTGCAAAATCGTATGCAATACGTGCGATTTCAACATGTGATCGAAACGCTCACCTTCGAGCGCGGGAGGTGCTCGAGTGAACAAGCTGATCACCGTGGTCTCTGAAACACTCGGAACAAGAGTTGATGAGGACGCTCCGTTGATGGCTGTTGGCTTCGATTCCCTCTCTGCGAGTGAATTCGGGGCTAGCCTGGGCATCAGGTTTAGTTCTAACCTGCCTTCGACCTTGTTATTTGACCACCCAACTGTAAATGCTCTCTCTAGTGTGCTGCATACTTCTGATCGGAGGGGATTCATCTAGGGACACCAAACACAAACTCAGCTTGTATGTGCGGAT